GATGTTGAGACATCGTTTAATTGGTTTTTGGTATTGTTTCTGAACACCCCCAGCAAGAATGAATTCTGTGTGTATTTAAGTTGGAGACTAAGAGGACTTAACTATGCCAATATGCAGTTCATTTGTTAAAACTCAATCTTTGAGGAGTCAATGTAGGTTAATGCTACCTTAAGTACCATAATCTACATTGGTCTCACAACGCTTAAGCCGAACCTACTCGAACAATCCTATTCGGGGGGGGGGCGCTAGCTAATCCTTCAGTTGAGTCTCGCCATAGACTCCAAAAACATCTAGGGGAAAACCAAAAAACCAAACCTCAAGTCATTCATCTAAAAGGACAACAGACAATTGAACCAAACTATATTTTGCCATGTAAATCTAACTTAAACCAAGTTAGGAATGGAAAAATAGTTTTGAATGCCCTTCTATAGGTATAAATCACTAAATGAAAATTTTTCAGCATGACCCACCCTTTAAACTGGTAAATTTAGCTGATCTAAACCATGATAGCTTACACACCAGGTGCATATAGGTTAAGGTCTTATGTAAAATCCCACTCATGAGCCCAACTAAAACCACATAAATGCATAACACATAGAACTAGAATGGCACCCACTGGGAACCACCAGCAGCAACCTTTGCTGAAGGGATCTACAACTCCAACGTGTGTCTCCAATCTCCATCCAGTGGTCGCCTCTGCAGTTCAATCGAGGGAACCCCTCTGCATGCTGATCAATAAACCCCTCCAATCGTTGTGGATTTATCGTTGTGGATTATATGACTTTTTCCGATGGATTACAGACTTTGTTTCCAAGGGGTTAAAGCATTGCTACAATGGAATTACCAACAACATTATGGAATTACCAACAACATTATGGAATTATTAACAACATGGTGGAATTACCTAAACCGTTGTGGGATTACCTTCTTTGACTTTTGTTTTCCTCTTGCTGGATTACATCAAGCTCAAGGACATTCGGAGGCGTAAGTTCATGTTGGAATTCATCCCCATGGACAGGCGATGATTTCCAAAGGGGGGACTGTAGTGGACTAGGCCTCCGACCAAAACCTGCCTCTGAAGACCTTCATGGGACAGGAACTGTTATTTCATTGATTTGAATCCAGAAATACAAATTAGCTCATCCAGAGACAGTCTAATTGTATCTTGAACTAATCAATTGAAAGAACACTCTTTTTCATATTATCATTACTATTTTACAATATCTTGATAATCAAAAGTGTGTTTAGTTCATACCATTTTTAAATGTTGAAGTGAACCACTCATTTTAAATCAACTGTGAAACAGTATTAATGATTTTTAATCCTCATTTAAATTAGAAATCAAGTTAAATGTCTATTTTACAAAGTAATTATGCATTTTTTGATCTTCTGTCTGAAATGAGAAAGAGTGATGTCGGTCAAAAGTCGGAGACTGTCAAAAACAAGTTGTTGGAATGGGCTGTCGTGTTTTTAAAACTCTCAGACAGTAAATAAGAGAACGGGCACCTGCAGTGTTTCTCACTTAGCCAAAACATTTCTCTCTGTTCCTAAACATTTCTGCTGTTTTCTTGACTTGTAAAAACCCTTTGACGGCACTAGAACCACACCCCTGTTGGTTGCTTCAACCAATCAGGACTTCTTAAAAGTGACCAGAAACAGAACTCTTTAAAAAGTCTCATCTGAGTCTTCTCAGTTTTCTGAGTCTTCTGGGGTTCTGTGGAGTAGTTCTGGAGTTTTTCCACTGCTGAGTGGAACTTCAGACTCAGTTTCCAGTCTGATGGAGTCATCCATCTCTGCAGGAGCCACGACGCCTCGCTGTGGCTCCACTAGGCGAATGCCCTACAACTTCTGAGGAAGTTTGTTCTGTTGAACGGAGTATCTCACGACTTCTGCCGAGTCGCAGCCACCCTGAGGAGATGCTGAAAGGTAGCGTGCCAGGGACCTCTTGACCGTAGCGGACCCATCCTCTGCCAAGGTAAAGAGTCGTCACGAGTTTCACTACAAGTGTACCGCGGGCGCTGCATTTGAAAGGAGCGTGTTGTTCTGGTCTAAAGACATAAATCTTCCTCCACATCTTCTTTAAACTCCTCCATATTTCCCATCTTTAAAACTCTTCTATCTTGCCAGTAATTAATCCAGATATCTTCAGAAATGTCTGTTGTTTTTATTAAGTAAAACGTGCCAAGTTTTATTAATCAGAACCAGACCAGTCTAATCAAGTGTACAATGTTTTGATGTTAAATTTTGATTCTGTTAATAAATGACCACATTTATTTTGATGGGTCAAAGAAAATTAACGTCTCATGTCACTGATTAAACCATCTACGCACAGTACCTCTGTCACATATCTGTAAGTAGCTCGAAAAAGAGAGAACCCATTATTTAAATAAAATTGTAGTGAAGCTCTGAAGCTAACCTAGCCCTTTAGAACATTACAGAGTCCTGACCTCAACCCGACAGAACACCTTTGGGATGAATTAGAATGGAGACTGAGAGCCAGGCCTTCTCATCCAACATTAGTATGTGACCTCAAATTTGCTTCTGGAAGAATGGTCAAAAATCCCTATAAACACACTCCTAAACCTTGCGGACAGCCTTCCCAGAAGAGTTGAAGCTGTTCTAGCTGCAAAGGGTGGACCAATGTCATATTGAACTGTATGGATTAGGAATGGGATGTCACTTAAGCTCATATGTGAGTCAAGGCAGGTGAGCAAATACTTTTGTCAAGGTAGTGTATGTCCCTCACTGCCTATTCTAAAAGCTAACCTGACCCTATTTCTACTCTAATAGCTTCACAACATTCTACAGGTCTCTCTTGGACTTCATCGTGTCTCTATTGGACCTTATGCCTTGTATTATAGGTGTTTATTTTAAAGATTTGCCCGTTTCAAGAGCACAGCTGCAAATAACATGTCGTTTGCTGTTGTGCCATTGACCAGTCTGCATCCAACTGCAGACCTAAAGGGGACTATCACAAAACAGGATCCCTAGGCTGACAACTTCTTTCAGAGAGTTAGCAAAGCACACCACAAGCACCCAAAACCCAGTAGTTTCTTCAAACTGTCAGACAACCAACACCTCTTAACGCTTTCCCGACGTCCAAGTTTTAACGCGTTTCTAGTAAACAGCTGCAAGCAGTTACACCCGGGAACGACTTTGGACTGCACACGCTTCTCATAAAGATTTTGCCGTCAGCAAAAATGACGTCATTATTTTCACGCGGGGCTTCAAACCTTCAGTCACGCTGTTTGTTTAATTTGATCTATAATCAAACAAAAACTTATGTACGGGCTTTTAAATCAACCAGTCGATTCTTATTTTTAGGAGAAAATTAGCGTTTCACGTGTTCATAGCATTCTCGGACCACTTACGGTTAGTGATGTTGTTAACTTTTCTGGCCTAATCCCCCGTGCGCCGCAGCGAAAAAAAAATTCACGTATATAAACTATTACGTCTGATAATTACAATTATGAAATCACGTATTATACTGTAACGTTCTACTGCCTTTCAGCTCACTAAACTGCAAGCACAGGAATGAAAACAGAGCAGCCTGTCAGTCCTAAAGGGACACGCAGAAATTTGACTTAACAGGTTTCCTGCTTACCTCATGAGATGTTAATAGCCGGCTCGTACAGTCTACGCAGACTCGGTCACTTGCCGCTGTGTCACCATTAAACAATAAGTAATGAGCTACCATTTATAAAGACGGGAGACCGGATTTCGGCACAAAGCTGTTTCCTGGATGGAGACTTGAGGACCTAAACCGGGCAGATGGAAGAACCACTGAGGTGTCAGAGTTTGACAGATGACTGAATGCAACTCCAGATGGGTCGCTGACAGAGACATTGCGAGTCCACTGATTGAGTTTTGAAGGATGGATGCCGGACATCTTCCAGCCTACCAGAAGTCGAAGGAAATGCCCTCACGAGGAGGAATGGAGTGGCAAAAGTTGGTGTGTCGGAGGGAAAAGTCACTGGTTCTACTCCCTGGGCTGAGAGCATCATGCATCAAATGAGGGTGTTATCATTTATCAGGACAGGAGGGTTTTTTCAGATTCATGCTAATCTGGCTGAGAGTTTATTGACAACAATTGACATCATTGACATAAAATTAACATTACCAGAAAAATAAAGGATTGCTATTTTCTATTTTTGCTTTTTCATTTAGGTGGAGGGGAGTTTAAAATATATTTGTTGCCACTCAAATGCTTTGAAACTGTGAACTTACTGTTTTTATTATAGTTATAGCTAAGATCTCCTGATGCATGCTCAATAATCCAGGTAGAACAATCTAAAAATGTTAAGTCTGGTCCTCTGGGCATTCAAAAAACAAAACAAACAAAAAAAGTAGAAACATTTAATCTTTTATCCGAATGACTTCTTCAGTCTGAGGTGCTGTATTCAGCTCAGTCTCTTAAATAGCACCTTCTCGTAGTGGATCTACCAGTTTGCTGCTGACAACCAAAACCAGCTACTCACATAATCAAGGAGAACCATCAGCCTAACAATGGATCATTAGCACACTGATGGCTGCTTACTGTTCACAGGGGGTTGAGTGATACTAGCAATCACAGCATTGTAAGAGGGGGACAGTTGAACACGGAGGCCTCCACCCCTGTTTAATGATGGACGGTTTCTTTTCACAAAGATGGCCTCCTTTACTCCTCTCTCAAACCATCGTTCCTCTCTGTCCAGGATGTGAACATCTTCATCCCTGAAAGAGTGACCGCTGGCCTGGAGATGAGTGTAGACCGCAGAGTCCTGGCCTGATGATGTTGCTCTTCTGTGCTGGGCCATCCTTTTGGCCTGTGGCTGTTCAGTTTCCCATTTAGTTTTCCACCTGATGACCTTGTTTATAGCAAAAGGCGCTTCTTTTGTTTGACTTAGTAATCCATTATTTGGATTGATTCATCTTGTCTTCATGTTATGTCCTTCAGCATCATGAATATGTTGTATTTCTCTGTAATGTCTTTTCATTTTTCTGATTGCTCGTTTTTTCAGATGAGTATGATCAAGAAGCGGTGGCACAACAACTTGTTCATCTGGTTTGTTCTGAAGGAGATTCAATGAATGCAAAGGTACACTTGATTACACCATTAAATATCCCAGATTTCTGTTCATGTGCATTATCAGTTTTTGGTTTGAACAAAGTTCAGGAACAGCAGAACAGGAACAGCAGCTGCTCTACAAAAAACATGTTGATGATGCATTAGGCTCTTAAACATAACCAACAAACCTCTCTTCAGTTAAATCTAACTCTGCATATGTTAAACACTTTAACAGTGCAGTTTTCTGACATCTTCTGACAGATCCAGGAAAACCCATTTCTGCGCAACAGCTTGAATCGTCTTTCTTACGCATCGTTTGCCAAGCTTCTAGACTTTGTTGGTAGTAATGAGGTGTCTGAGGCCCCACCCTTACCACCATCAGGTAGTCCTACTCTACGACGAGTGGCCGTCAGTATGGAGGTGTCACGGCGAATAATCACAGCCACAGGAGCCCAACGCACAAAAGACTATGCAGAGCGATACATGGAGAGCTTCGCCCCATGGGTGAAAAGTCATGGAGGATGGGTGAGTTTCCCATTCCACTGACTGTACAATGTTTTTTTATTCAACCTTTATTTAGACAGGTTAATCCCATTGAGCCTTGGGTACTCATTTACAAGAGAGACCTGATTTTTTAACAGAGTGATGACAACAGTGAGCAACAATGACAACAATAGACATTCACAAAAGAGGCATACAAATTTTTAATTACTTTTTTTAAACAAATTAAAACAAAATAGCAACCATAAGGATAGTCAAAAGGAAAAGCAGTGAAAAGACAAAAAAAAAAAAAAAAAACAGCTAGATTATAAGGCGGTGTAGAAAACTAAAAACAGGAACACGTCTGCATTGGTTTTTGCCAGGAACTTAACAGATGTTTGAAGCCACTTAGAGAGGTCAAGGTCGAGAGCTTCAGATGTTTTTACAAGATATTCCAAGAAACAGGAGCAGAGTAGGAGAAGGTCCTTTTGCCTAGTTCAGTCTGCACTGAGGGAACACTGCAGGTAATGATGTCCTGGGAGTGCACGCTGTAGCTGCAGTCACGCAGAGACATGTAGGAGGAGATGTATGAAGGCAGCAGAGATGTCTCCTGATACTTGTCTTTTACCTAAAGCTTTGTTTTTGTTTTCTCTTCAGGGAAATGTGCTAGACATTGAGGATCTTGTGGAGTATGACTGATGTCCCAGCTGTCTTCTGGTTCTAAACAACTGGATGATATCAACAAACAGGGTTCAGATGGATTGACCCAACTCTTCAAACTGACCCATGTCCTTTTATCCAGACTGTGACAAATAGACACTAAATGTCACATGTGGTGACAGAAGATAGAGGAACAATAGCTCAAGTCATAACTAAACTAAACATATTTAGAAGTATAAAGAGAAGAAATTATGAGCTGAAGATAACCAGGAGTACAAGTATTGTGAGATGAGCTGATGAAACACAGGTGGACTACGTACTACTAAGGATCTCTTTGAGTAAAAATATCAGACTATAACAGTAACATTGATTAAATACCAAGCATAAAATAAACAAAACATTAAGCCTTTAAGAACGCAACGGTACTTCAGCTTCGCAACATGTTTCCATTTTATATAGTCAAATTAAAAGAAGCCACTTTGTTGTCTCTAGTACAACTAAGCTTGATTAGTTTGAACATAACAGCTCGTCTTATTATTGGCATTTAGATCTCACAGTTAATACCTTTTACACTAATCCAACTATCCATTTCCTGAAGCTTTTCAGTGGTAGGGTTGCAAAGGCCATCAGGGAGCTGCTGGAGGGAAACCCTGATATCCCTGTCTCCAGCAACACTCCAGTTCTTCCTCAGGGATCCCAGGTCAGAGAAGGTGCATAATATTTTCAGAGTTCTGGGTCTGTCCCAGGGTCTTCAACAAGTGCTCGGAAAACTTTTCAGACTGCAATGTCAAAGTCACATCCTAATCAGATGCCCAAACCACCTCACCTTAATATTTTCAATGAGGAAGAGCTGGGCTCTACTCAAACCTCATACGTCTCTGGTATGACCAGAGAGGTATGAGACCTGTTCTCCTCTCTTCACCCTGTCTCTGAGCCCAGCCACCCTACATAGAAAATTAATTTTAGCTGTTTGTACTGAGAATCACATCCTTTTGGTCATGATTTATATCTGAAGACCATAGGTGACAGTCATAACGTTGACAAACTAATTAGTCAAGTGCTTTGTCTTTTGTCTCAGCTCCTTTTTCTTCCATGATCCTTTTAGCAACTTTGCAAGAGTGATGATCTGGATCACCGTTTCACAACTTGGACAAAAGCCACACTGCTGCTCCTGTACCGGTATTTGAGGTTCAACAGTATGTCAGAGCCTCCCTTCCAACACCTTTCCCAGGAGGCTGAATAGTATGAACCAGTACGAACCCTTGATAGTTGCAGTGCACACTCCAGTGTCACTTTTTAAAAATGGGGACCAACTTTCCAGTCTGTCATATTGCAGGTGTTTTGCTGGTCTTCCATACAATGTGTATGTGAAACATGGCAGTCCCACAACCTTCAACATCTCATGATAAATCTGGTCCACTGCTGCCACCAAGGAGCTTTTTAATACCTTAGTGAGCTCTACAATGGTAATAGATCTTCCTTTCCCTGAGTCCTCAGACTTTCTCCTCAGGGTGGAACATGATGGCCAGAATAATCCTGGAAATGTTTTCACTACGCCATTGTGGAAAGCACAAGCAAAGCCCAGAAGTCCATTCATCCATCCATCCATCCATTCATTATCTTAACCTGCTTCTTAATTTTCGGGTTGTGGGGATCACTGGCGCCTATATCTAGCGGTCTCTGTGTGAGAGGCCAGAGACACCCTGGACAGGTAGCAAGTCCATCAGAATAGAATAGAACAGAAACAGCCTTTATTGTCCCACGGATGGGAAATTCCAGTGTATCAGCAGCAACAGCAGCAACAGATAAAAAGATAAAAAGATTTCACACAAAAGTTCCTACATGTTAATAAACAACACAATATATAAGAAATAAGATAAACAATATCAATAATAATGTTCAATATGTATTGGAACATTGAGAATGGCAGACTATTGACAGTACAGTATTACAGGCAGAGTGTGTGTTTCAGCAGAGGTCAGCATGTATTTAATCCTTATAGAGTTTGTTGGAGCAGTGATGGTTGTAGAGTCAAACAGCTGCTGGAGGAAGGACCTGCGGTGACGCTCCTTTGTGCATTTAGGATGCAGGAACCTGTCACTGAATGAGCTCTCAGTTCAGCAACAGCTTCATGCATGGGGTGGGAGACGTTGTCCAGCAATGATGTTATTTTAGCTGGAGTCCTTCTGTCTCCCACCACCTGCACTGGGTCGAGGGGGCGTCCAAGTACAGAGCTGGTCTTCTTGATGATCTTATCTAGCTTCTTCTTCTCAGCTGATGATAAGCTGCTGCTCCAACACACAACGCCATAGAAGATGGCTGATGCCACTACCGAGTCAAAGCAGGGACACCCTGGACAGGTATCCAGTTCATCATAGGGACACCCTGGACAGGTCTCCAGTCCATCACAGGGCCACATAGAGACAAATGAGACAAACAACCATTCATTTGTTCACTCTCACCTATGGACAATTTAGAGTTACCAGTCAGCCTAACATGCATGTTTTTGGTCTGTGGGAGGAAACCAGAGTACCCAGAGAAAACCCACGCATGCTCAGAGAGAACATGCAAACTCCACCCTGGTCAGAATTTAATCTGGCAACCTTCTCGCTGTGAGGTGGCAGTTCTACCAGCTGTGCTGCCTTGCCATCCAGCACGTAAGTCCACTAACAAAATATTGCTCAGGGTAAGGTTAGGAACAATGAGTTTCCACTCATCTCCAAGTGTCATTGCCCCCATGGACATCAGAGTCAGGAGAACCATGGGATCCCTAGATGGCACCCATTGCAGGACACTATTCAGAAAATCCAAGAGGGCTGTGCTCTATGAACTGCTGTTTGGTGCAAAGGCACAAACACCAGTCAAAACTTATTTTTGCAGCTTGGCGCTGCAGAGAAGCCCTTTTGCTCACCAGAGATTCCAGCACTAAGGAGCTCAGCCGGGGACTTGTGAGGATCCTCACACCTGCTCGATGCATATGGCAATGGACAACTTTAGGGAAGAAGAGAGCTTTGTTCCAGGAGTTGGGTTTCAGAACCAACGCTGTGCATCAAAGTCAAAGTTTCTTTATTTGTCATTTCGCACCACATGTGGTACATGTGGGGATAGAAATTTTGTACACAGGGTCCCAGTTATATCCAACAAAAGTGTAGGGGAACACCACCTCAAAAACAGTTCACCACCTCAGAAAAGAACACCTCATCTCAGAAAACGGTTCACCTCAGCTTAAACAGAAAAAGAGTTCACCTCATCTCAAACAAACATCATTCATGTGTTTTGTGTTTGAAACTGTTTACAATAAGATGCATCTATTCCCTTGGGAACAAACAGACTTTGTTTTACAGGTGTTCAACTCAACTCACAAACTTCTTAGTTGACACTAATGTGAATGTATTTTTTGGAGCACAGAATGCTCTCCACTGCACACCTGTAGAAGGGGATGTGGACTGTGCTTCCCAGACCAGCTCGCCTCACTGACCTCACTCACCTGAGGAAGTAGAGATGTGCTTTCTTGATCAGGCTGGTAGTGTAGTTGCACTAGCTGAGGGTGTCATTTATGGTAAGTGCACACCCAAGTACTTGTAGCTGGAGACCACTTCTACCGCAGATCCTCTTATGTTTAGAGGGGTGTAGGTGTGTTTGTTCCATCTGAAGTCCATGACTGTCTCCTTTGTTTCCTTCACATTCATGTGAAGGTTGTTCTTCCTGCACCAGCAGATGTTCCACCTCCTGCCTGTAGCTGGGCTTGTTGTTTCTGATACATCCAACCACCGCTGTATCATCTGTAAACTACAGTATGACAGCCTGGATGGGTAGTTGTGCAGTCATACGTGAGCAGAGTGAACAGGAGAGGACTC